ACAAATCATTGTTCCAGCAATGTCGTCTAGGTAACACAGATAAAATCATTGTTTATCTTTTTATTTCACTCTCGGCGATGGTTTTCTCTGGTATTTTCTCATTTGTTAGGTTTTCACAGCGACGATTGGGATTGAAAAAAATTGGAGTTTGTTGTGGACTAATTGATCGTCGCTGTCTCCGTGCCGAGGATGGAAAAAACACTCTCAGTCTGCATTACCTCTTTTACTAGAATAAAATATATATCTACTGTGTTTATGGAGTGGGGAAAATCGATATGGGATAACGTTAAATAATTTTTTAAATCGCTCGCACGATAAAATAGCACTTGGAGTAACGTAATGTTGAACATACTGAATGGACAGCGTAATAACATTTCTGAAAACTTAATCTCTCGTTATGAGTAACGCTTTTAAACAAAATTGATAATTTAAAATTTTGTATAAGTCTCATTTCAATTCTCCCACTTCGCAAACCACTAACATCAAACAAACCCAAAGTAACTATAATATTATCTATCATATTCTTTCCAATCATTCCTGCTTGGCGTAATGTAGAATCATAGACGAAGAAAAAAATCTGTGCAATTTACCTACAAATCCGTGAATAATGCTTAATTCGTTATTTAATTGATTATTAACCTAATTAATTCATTTTTCCATTGTTTAAACGAAAGTTATTAATGAAAAAGAAATGTGATGTCTACTATAATTCACCAGTAATTTTCAACAGATTTTTCTCTTCATATAGAACTCTTCAATTTAAAAATTGAATTTTTGCCTCGGAGGTGACGAAATCATCGTGCGCTTGGATTGGATAGTCAATGATTTAACGATCATATCTTAATAAATGAGTTGATCGAAGCCTGGCATTAATCATGATAAGATTGTCCAACACACATTGTTAGTGGCAATTCGCATTCAAGCCCCACTCGTTCAGAAAAAGTGTATAAAAAAGATTGCTCACACCAGTTGACTCTTCGCATTATTTCTGGTAATGATGAGTTCTTGAATCATTGGGGTGTAGATATTTCGACATTTTTTACACATGTCTGTGATTAATGTTTGGATGAAATATATTGAGTACGCGCACGTGAATTCGTCACCCATCGAGTCCACTTTCAGCCCTTCAAACCTGTTTTAATTGATCATCCAGCTCTCGATTCATTAACAGTCAACGTGATAATTGAGATAATGAAATGATTTAATGAGTAATCGCTTCACCATTGATTTCTTTATTCAATTTGAATTTAATTATCCAATCTATTGACTCGCAATGCCCATCGCATACGATTATTCTCGTGGATTTTTTTTTCCATCGGTACTAACAATGTTTGACTGTTAATGAATTTATTTCATTTCGGCGGTTTAGTCGGCTAAGTGACGAATCTACATATTCAGAATCGTTACACGCCGATACAACGGACGATATTCGATTTTGATTATGCACAATCGACGGCTTTTCCCCCTCCATTGTTTGAGAACAAAAGAAATACTTTTTGTTACGTCAGTTACTTATTTTAAACTTTCTATTATAATTGGTTTTTCCTCTTTTACATAGTATACTCTCTTTCGCTCTATATGCAATCACCCTTCTCTCTCGTTCACACTCACGGCGTACGAAATGTTAGTCTTTCTCGCGTGAAAAGTTATGTCAATTTTTTTTCCCTATTTAAATATGCGGTTAGCAAACTGTTCAATTTGAGAAAATTTTCTGTTATATTTTCTGTAATACAAATTGGTAATTTTAATAGATTTCATTAATTTTAGATTACTGCATGTAAGGATTAATTTCAGTGATAAATTTTGCGAATTCGTTGGAAAATTCTGTTTGATTTCTATTGAACTTTCTATGAGTGTTTGACCGATTCTATAGAAAAAATCAATAATATTCTATTGAGCAAATTGTTTGCTCAGAAAAACAATACTTTTGTTTGATTTTTTTAATGACAAGAGACGAATGGAAGATTCAAAAAATGTTTCGAAAACTTATTTGTTCTATAAAATAGTTTCTCCCGAATATTTTCTATAAAAACGCGCAGTGAAGCTGTAGAATTCTTCAACCAAATCAGACTAAAAATTGATAGAATTTTCTATATAAATTGTCGCGTTTTTCAATGAAATTTTTCCGTACATATGAGAATATCTACATTCTCAATGCTGTCTTTTCAATTTCCCTATCGATTTAGTCTTGTCTACGTAATGATTCAAGTGACGATCCCTCTCCGATTTATCAGCTGGATCAGATCGTCTATATTCATCTCATTTACCTAATTGAACGTCTCGTCATCCAACGCAATTACCTAGTGTTAGCGAACAAAAGTTCACTCAGACCGTCTACTTTCGTCCGCGCATTATTTACCTAATTTCTATCCCTCAATGAAATTTTCATTAAATTATTAAAGAACCTTACGATGAAGGAGCGCTCGAGTACAGTAGTTGTTTCGGTCAAAATTGTAGGATTCCATTTGAAATTTTTTCTCTTCTAAAAAATTTTCTTAATACATTTTTCATTATCATTTATTCTTAATTTTTCATCTATCTTCATGACCTTCGGATTTTGGCTATATGTACATGTTTAGCCGGAGAAGATATTTATATATTTTCATATTAATTTCATGTATATCTGGTTGTAGAAGTGATGAGGCAAATGTGAACAGTAGGTGTTCATTTTCAATACAAAGGATATAGAATACAATGTTGGAATAACTAGGAAACAGAACGAGTTGTGAAACTTAACATCTCTCATTTGCGCCGTCACCCCTATGCATATGCATCTCCAAACTTAGTCCTTTGTGCGTTTGGACTTATAAGTAATATAGATAATACATTATTTTATTCTGAGATCTAGGCAGTTGTGTGTTGTATCAATTTATTCATTTATATTCTTTAATATCTACGATTGAGTTCAAGATTCTTGCAATGATCGACATTATTTCATCAGTATTCCATTCAAATAGCGAGAAAATCATATCAACTAATGAAACAGTAAGAAGTATCTATGAGCGTTTGTATTCCCTCTCATTATCTCAATTTTACATAATTAATAGTTGTTGCTAAATCATTTGAATGTATCAAATGTGAACACTTGTTTTTTTTCACCTCGGTAAAACATTTGGCAAAAAGTTGTTTCCACTCGAACCTCGAAATGTATAATGATTTCTCTTATAACCGCTCTAAAATATTCTCCCTTGTGTTCATTTTGGCTCTGGTCCTCAACCTCTTTACGAATAGGTGGTCAATTATTTAGGTTTCTTGAAAAATGTCGAGAAAATTCACTTTAGTTACACCGATTCCACAAATCATCAAGCCCATTAATCCACCTCTCCCAGCTATTAAACATTTTTTTCACGTAATCCTACGATCTACTTACATCTACGTGTTTGGCTATCCGGTTCGCTACATTAATATGTTGAGCTTTTTCGGCATTTCAACATACTTTCAGTCCTCATTAATGAATTCCACGCTATCATGTGATAATACTCAAAACTATTCTTTCAAATTCTAAAAAATAATCCCGCACCGAGAGTACGTCATGCGGACAACTCGCGATACAGTGACTGACAAAATTACTTTTGTCAAGAGAATTTTGTTTGAATCAATCATCATTTGGTTGTGAATAGCAGTTATTTCTTCTTGAGATACATTTGAATGGGAGAAACCGAACGTCTGAAGAATTGAAGCTTCTTTTATTTGCCGCAATAGCGAGTGAATTTGATTTCTTTCTGAGCAAAATAGGGCTGCCCACGAGACTCAAACGAGACTTCATTTCGAAGGGATCGTCTTGGTGAAGACAGAAACTTTTGGTCTCATCACAGTCTCAAAAGAGGCAGTATCGGCTCTGCTCGTGATGACTCACAGTCAATTTATCTCATCTCGGTCTCAAGTTTCTCGTGCTTATTCCAAAGAGAAGTCTCACAAAAGTTAGCTAACTCCAAAAATTCTTTGGTTTGCTGAACAATCAAAATGATTCTCCTGACAAAATGTTGTTATATCGATTAACACGATCACACGTTATCCCACGTGAATTACAATTGAAGTGAGTATTTCGCATGTCGAATCAGGATGCAGATTACTACGCGGAAAAAGCTTTGAGACTGAAGGAAGATGTCGTCCAGTTGAAAGAAATTCATATTTCTTCACCAGAAAAAAATTACGCAAACTTGGATATCATTTATTTCGTTCAATGTGATGTACAGAAAGCCCAACATTCAATTCATTCCTCAATGTGATCATCTCCTAGGTACGAATCGTTAATCAATTCATGAAAGTAGAAAATTTCTCGACTGAAGATCATTCTAGATTAAAAAATAACAAAACTTTTCCATTCGTGTGGTGAATACATTTTAGTTAGATGTTAGTTACATGTTACTCGACGCCAAAAACTGTTTCATTTGATCCAAGTAGATGTACCACAAGAAGAAATAATTGATATTCACCGTAAGATCTTACTCATTTGAAATTGGTTCAAGTATCTAACACACGTTCCGAGACAGAAACATCTCAATAAAAATCATTTTTTCCATCAACGTACAATTGACATGTCCGCATACGTATTTTCTCCATACGGGAGGGTTCACATACAAAAAAACATTGCAGATTCAGCCCGTTCGACCCTCGAGCTCCCAAACAAAACCAGGAAAACTGCACTGATAGAATGATTCATTTATTCCGAACGAGATTCATTAACGAACTTGCATGTGAACAAATAAATATCCGTTAATAGTCAACGAATATTCACTGGAAAGGTGAAAGTCGAGTCGAGCAAGGCTCCTCAAATATGCTTTTATTAACGATTTATTGACGAATGAACATTTGTTAACAATAACGAATCCTCTCTATCAGTGCGATAGCGGCGAAATGAAAACGTGAATGAGTTATCAAATTTCGATGATTGATCATTAGGTGCTTGTGGCCTTGACGACATCAATCCTGGCGTTCGGATCAGGCGGGCCGTGATGGATAATCGGTGATCGTCCAAAATCAAGGAATCCTGGCACCAGTGTCTTTAAAGTGGATCAGGATGCGCCATATGCGCAGGCAGAATTATCGGGTGGACTTATTTTCTCAACTGGTAGAACAGCAGCCCTCTGCCACTCATCTCTCACCTGAAATTGCGAAAAACCGAGGCATTACTCATCGCGTCCAAGCGCCAAATTAGCCACAAGCTCACTGCGCATTCTTATCGCGAGACTTGTCGGTCATGTGACTTGATCACAGCAAAAAAAATATAGACACTGCAAATAAAACTTTCATTGTATCGGAGAAGTTTCACAGAGAGAGACTATTTTTACGATCAAAGTCAAGTATTTCACCTCTATTTAATCTCAGAAATGTCGATATCAGCTTCGACAACTATTTTATCTCGCAATTATTGTCATCGCGATATGAGAGAGAATTTATTGGGGAAAAAAAGAACAAGCTCACCTGCTCAACCTTGGTGAAAACCCTCAGTAAATTGAGGCCGGCGAGTTTCTTTATGTCCTCCTCGGTCCACGCGGGGTCTTCCAGTAGTGTTGCCAATAGCTGGGGATATCTCGATACGTCCTCCAGACCGGTCGGCGTACTGAAAATGCCAAAAGCATTCTTGATCAATAAACAGTTTGACAATGGGCTGGGGGGAAAATAGCACTCGGAGAGAGATGGAGAAATGAATAGAGAGAAATTGATATCTTCGGGTTGAGGAGAGGAAGGGGTTTTGACTAGAGTCGAATAGCGATCATTGACAATTTTTCAATGTGAAGGAACGATTTCAATGTGGGGAAATAATTTGAGGGGAGATAAGATTGATTGGAGCCATTTTCGAGGCAACTTCAAATGCCTTCAATACATTTTATTTTATCAGTTATTAGTCATTTTTATATTTTAGCGAGAAGGCAGTTATGTATTTTTGTATTGAGTTCATGTGTCTGGTTGTCGAAGTGATGATGAATATGATATCGAGTACAGTTTTTGATTAGCTAGGGAACAGAATAAATTACATCTCTCATTTACATCATATCGTTGATGTATTTTTTATAATTAATTAGAGGGCTAGGTTCCTTGCTGGCTCCGGTCATCAACACCCATATGACCCCCATGATCCTTATCCTGACCCTTGTGACCCTTATTTTGACACTTCATTAATGATCATTAATTTTGGAGTCTTAATTTCGAGCACCAAATTTCATTCCCAAAAGTCGATTTGGATTTTTTTTTTTTCGGAGAGATATTGAGACCCTTGTGACCCTTAGTTTCTGACCCTTTTGGGACCCTTCCTCTGACACTTGTTACTCTTATTTGGGGCCTTAATTTGACCCTTTTGATACTTAATCTTGTGACCCTTGAACTGACCCACATAACCCTTAAACTGACTCTTCTGGCCCTTATTTGGACCCTTGTGGTCCTTGATCTGACCTCGCGGCCCTTATTCTCACCCTTATGATCCTTATTTTGACCCTCGTGACCTTTATTGTGACCCTCATAAGCCTTATGACCTTCAATTACGGAATCTTAATTTCGAGTATCAAATTTTTATCACCAGAAGTCGATTTAGATTTTCATAATGTAGAGAGATAGTTGATGCTAAATCACTTGAATGTATCAAATATGAATCCTTTTCTTCACCTCGGTAAAATATTTGGCATAAATTGTTTCCTCTCGAACCTCAAAAAGTGCAATGATTCCTATTATAATCGCTTTAAAATAGTCTCTCAATCTCTTTACTTAATTCACCTTTTCCAACCATTAAACATTCCTTTTTTCATGTAATTTTACAGCCATTCACATCTTTACTTTCGGCTTTCTTTCACAACCGCTCCAGAATGTTCTTGTATTCCTTGAGACGGAGAAATGAATGGAAATAAATTGATATCTCCTTGAGAGAAGGAAGCAGCTCCGTACTCTCGGCTAGACCCGAATACCGCTCATTGTCAATTTTTCAATGCGAACAAACGATTTCGATCTGGAGAAATAATTTGAGCGAAGGTAAGATTGATTCGAGCGCTTTTCCCGCCAACTTTACGCGTGAAGTGAGAGATTCAATGAGACACGGTGGAAAATAAATTGCCTGGGAAGTAGTGTGAAAAGTTGACGAATAGTGTAATCGATAATTCCATGTTGAAACTTACAAATTTATTCCATCGAAACCAGCCCCAATGCCCACGTGATCGATACCAGCTACCTTTCTTATATGATTGATGTGAGCTGAAAAATAAAATTCGAGAATATATGATTATTCTGGTGCTGCGGTGGAGCAGCTGTGTCTCATCATGCTGAGAGGCTCCTGTCGGGCATTTTAAATCTGTATTTGGATAATTACCGATCACGTCTTTTATCGTCGCTGTGCTGTTGCAAGTTATGAAGTACGTATAAAAAGGTATCATGGCAACACCGCCGTTCTTAGCCTGCGAACACACCGTGAAAATAAGATGAATCAATTTTCCCCAGCTATCGGACTTATTGATCGTAAAAATTGTTTGTAAGGTAATGATGGAATATTGTCTCGCGTGATCAGCTACGATGTAAGTGCTCTCGAGTATCGGGAAGGAAATTTCGTATTTTATTTCGGGATATGGCCGTTTTCATGATGTCGCATTAAATAATGTTGGATGGCATCAATATTTCGAAGCGTTGGCGTTCTATTTAGGAATATCGGTGGGGTTCACATTATTTATGGGTAGAATGGACAATTTTTAATTTTTTGAGATGGTAATTACGTGTTTAATTATTCATGAAATGACATGATTTTTTTCTGAGTTATCAATATGAAAAAAATGTTGAACTTGCCCGTTTTGAGCAGCTCTCGCTTATGAATGTGTTTTCAGTTGTTTACATTGAGAGGGAAAATTACAGGCGGAAAATTTATAGGTTTCCGTGGAGGGAGCTTTTGTCGTGTTGAATCAATTTACTTGTGGACAAAAAAGAAAGTTTCCACCAAAACACGATAATTTTCGTATAGTAGTAAATGTTCTCGTGAGACATTTATGTCTTTCGGGTAAATACATTCGTTCTACAGAGAATTATGTGAGACTCCGGTTTTATCAAGTGAATGTTATTGAGTAGTGTATATCTTTGTCCAATAAGCACTTAGAATTTCCATGGAACAAATGATAATTTCAAGAGGAAAATACAATTTTCTTGCCGATAACTGTGTTATTGGCAAAACTAAATAATTTCGAGGGGACAATTTTTTTGGAAAAAAAATATTCTTTCCTCGTCAATGTATTCTTTCTGTGGTATAAACCTATGGAGTTCCCTCAGATCAAATGATTGTCGTACAATAGATTATATTTTTTCCTGCCAACAGTTCGAATTCTTCTAGGGACATTTCTGATGATCACGACAAAAATTTAATTTTTGTGAACGATATTAAATTTTCTTCTATCAAGTTGGTTAATTTCCCTCAAGTAAATCCGGTCTATTCCATCAAATATTCTAACGTGGAACATATAGTTTTTCGGCAGAACTAATTTTTTCTCTCAGTGCGGTTTGAGAGAATTTCAACTATCACAGTTCCAAATTTGTGATTAATAAAAAAATTAAAAAACTAAATTCCGTCGGGAAGATTTGAAAAATGAGTGATTAAAGAACATTAATGCATTGATGGAAACTATTGCGGATTTTGAATATTTCTTTTTGGAGGATAAATAATAAAACCCGGTTAAAGTTGCAGAAATCTTATATTTTTAGACATGAAATTGATTTTCGTCTTAATTCAATTCAATTCAGCTATATTTTTTCCGTGTGACATATAAGAACAGTTACACGCCAAAACGGACACCTAAAAAGGTCGATGTCACGGATTTTCTTGCTGATTTTTTCCTGGAAAGTTGAGCATTAGACGAACAATTATTAACCCGGAATTATTAATATTTTCGACTTTTTTTTTCAAAATGTTCGTCTAATGCCCAACTTTCCAGGAAAAAATCAGCAAGAAAATTCGCGACATCGAACTTTTCAGGTGTCCGTTTTGGCGTGGAACTGCTCATAAACATTTTAGAAATGTTAAACCTGCTAAAATTTTAACCAAGAGAAGGTTCAACTAATGTTTTTAAAAAATTCTCCATTGAAGATCCACAATTTTATGAAAAAAATCAACAAAAACTGCGCAGTTCAGTTCAAGTCTTCCACAAGCACCAATAGAAACCACACTGAGAGAAAAATTTTCTGATATGTAGACTATATTTACTTGAGAGAAGTAAATTATTTTCAATGGTTTAAATCTCCGAATGCTTGCGGTTCACGGAGCTCGAATGAATTCTCATTTATCACTATCGTTGCGCATTATTGAGATGCCTGGGAAAATTAAACAGTTGAAGAAAAATTACTTGTCTCAAGAAAATATGTTTCAGATATTAGAATTTTTTTTTCTCAGTGCAGGAAAATTGAGATAAACATTCTAAATTCACTAATTACTCCAAACTCCTCACAAAACTTTTACCAAAATCTAAAATCTTCAATTCCAAAAAAATGAAAAACTTCTTTATTCACTCATAGCCCTCTTGCTTCACAATTTTTTCCTCCCGACATGCACATCCGATTTGAGATGAAAACCCCATGGCCGGCTATTCTCAGTGGTCTTCCGCTATAACCCAGAATCGAGTAATTCCCGTGCCAGCCGGATGTCCGCTGAAAACTTTTCGACTGTGCACCCTTCCCACCGCCCCTTCAGTCTTCCTCCGGAGCTTTCCGCATTTACATCCGGTGATCTCTCTCCCAGCACCGGGTCCAGAGACACGCCGATTCCCCCCGCCCCCAAACTCGAAACTGTGTACAGTGTCACCATAGTTTTGACTGCAAACTATCAGTGTTAGAGGGAGGGATGAGTTTTGTTGCATAGGAAATCAGAGGAGGAAGAGATCCCTTCGGAAGCGTCAGACTAACGCTTGGCCATTGATCTCTTGGATACACTTGATATTCCAAAGTTTGGGATTAAAAGTTTTTCGTGGCGCTTTGAGAACTTGCGTATCGCATTTGCCAGTGGAATTGTTTTTCCTTCTTTTCCCCCTGTTTTTGTATCTGAATATTTATGGAAGGGAGTAGCCCGAGGGGAATTTTTTTTCGGGTATCAAATAGTGTTGGAATGATGTTATGATGGAAAAAGAGAATTTTCGAGGGGCAGAGAGGCCTTTCTGCGTTAAAAATTTGTTCATTTTTCTTTCCTTTGAGCACGCTTTATCAAAGACACCGGCTAATATTTCCACGTTGTTGAATTAACATTCATTGTTTCGTTCGCACGATTGTGGGAAGTTATTATGGGAGTTATGAAATATTTGTCAACTTCTCGGCATTTCTCACGCCGAGGGGGACAAAGGCAAACAAGTGTCATACATTATTTTTGAAGATTGATTAGGTGATTAGGTGATTCGATGAATTGTGGGGTTTTACGACAATTTTTCAGCAAATGATAACAAATAATGTAATGAGTAAATGAATAAATGAATGAGAAAATAAACATTGCAGTGGAAACCGACGAAAAGCAACTGTAATGTAATTAAATTTTAAAAAAACAGAAAAACAAAAAAACGAAAATCAAAAATTAATAAATGTACATTATTGAGACATTTAGATGAATTAGTCTAGTAATTTTATAATATGAGTAATATAACTAATGTTTTCCGTTGCGAGTTTTATTTTGAACTACTCATTTTATTAATTTTATTACTATACTTTATATTTATTTGATTTAATCCTGTAATTGGCGGTGGGTTGTTTGGTTTGTATGAAATAAAAATTAAATTGAATGAAATATTCAACGGAAAATTATAATCAAGTGACGGTTCACCAGGATTTTTAAGAATTCCGTCATTGAAAATTGAAAATTTGATGGAAAAAATTGATGGAAACAGTGAATTTCGGTGCAATTATTCCATAAAAATGAATAAACATAAGAGAAATTCAATTGAATCTATTCTTGAATTCCGAATTAATTGAAAATTTAATGTGATTTGGTACCAAATGTTCATGTTTTAATGAAAAATTGTAGAAATTTAAATAAGTCTAGAATTTCATTGAAATTACGGTGATATTTGAAATTTCATGATTTTTAAAATAAATAGTTTATTCACTTTAAATGAAAAATCTTTTATTTCAAACAAATAAGCGATTATTCAGTTTGATAAAATTAGATTACAGATTACAGTTTGATAAAATCATTATTTAGATAAAGACATGAATAAAAACGGATTTTAGACTTGCATAAGAGCTTTATCCCAAACTATTGAAAAAAAATCCATTTATTGTATCAAAATTAAGATGTGTAATAACCACCACCGAGTGAATTTTTCAGTAAAAATCAAACTTTTGGAATGAAAAAATAAAAAAATAAAACACATCGCGGAAATATTTTTTACCACTCTATCAAATATAAATGAATGTCGATGAACATTGGACCCCCGCAAATACAAAATTGCTTGAGTCTCAACATTTTCCTGTTATACTTTTATTCCCACTGCTCGTTCCAACTCCGAACGAAGAACCCATGAAAGTGGTTATCCAAAGTTTTCAAGCTCTCCCGAAAGAGCCACCGAGTTTTAATGTCAATAAGCTGGAGTGTATATTCCCCCCTGAAAACTCCCGCGACCATTGAATGAGACCTCACCCCCTCCCTCCCCCCAATTCACAATTACCCGACATTTGATTAACGATCTTGAGATGCCTACTGCTCCCAATCACCCGTGTCGTTCATAAATTCATCAAAATCGACAGGTATGTACACAGAAAAAAAGCACCAGTGAGTGGAGCCTGCACCCATAATTGGGAAAGAGGGTTAGAAAAATAGGGGGTGGAATTAGGTCATGCGCCCAATAATTATCGGGCGTCAAAGCCAACAAGCTGGGTCAATTAGAAGGCCACCCGCGCCGAAATGCTTGAACGCGGTTAATCATCGGTGTGACCATCCACCGAGCGAATAACCCGGGCAACCAATGCCGGCCAGAAGCTCATGTAACCGCTGAAGGCAATGCCACTGGGGCAGAGGGGGGAAAAAATTAATCTGTCATACGCAGAACGATCAGCACTTTCATTCGACATTTTCCCGGGAACAAAGCCCTGTTATTAAAAGTTGCCGATCTACCTTCAATTGTTAACTCAGTTCTTTGCGGTGAGTGGTGAAAAAAAAAAAAAAAAAAAATTCTAAGAGAATTAGAATTTAGAGAGAAAAAATTTCCGCTTCACCCAGCCGGGAATCGAACCCGGATCAAATAAATAGTTCAGATGTTTTAGAATATTAGCTTTACCGGAAATAGTATATTACGTGCTAAGGCGGAGAAGTGCTGAATTCAACGCTGGTGGAGTACAGGCGCACGAGGCACGTGAGTCGGAGACGAGGCCGCCGAAGGCGGCNAAGGGGATTCACTGGCTGAATTTATCAGTTTTTATATGTAGTTTTATATTTCGGTACATTAACGCTGGGTGGCGCCACACGTTTTTCAGTCCTAAGGAGTGCATTTCTCACTTTTTCACTCCTAAGTAGTGCATTTCTCACTTTTATACTGCTCAACGGTAAAAAGACCTACTTCTCATGCTTAACTACCGTCGGTAAAAGAGCCCTTTTTGGGCTTGAGCAATGAAAACTATATGTTCCATGTGAGAATATTTGATGGAGTGGAACAGATTTGCTTGAGGGAAATTGACCAACTTGATAGAAGGAAATTTAATACCTTTCACAGAATTCAATTTTTGTCGTGATCATCAGAAATACCCCCAGAAGAATTCGAACTGTTGGCAGGAAAAAATATAATCTACTGTACGACAATCATTTGATCTGAGAGAACTCCATAGGTTTATACCATAGAAAGAATACATTGACGAGGAAAGAATACTTTTTTCCCAAAAATAATTGTTCCCTCGAAATTATTTAGTTTTGCCAATAACATAGTTATCGGCAACATAATTGTAGTTTCCTCTTGAAATTATTATTATTGGACAAAGATATACACTACACAATAACATTCACTTGATAAAACCGGAGCTTCATATAATTCTCTGTAGAACGAATGTATTTACCCGGAAGACATAAATGTCTCACGAGAACACTACTATTACGAAAATTATCATGTTTTTTTTTATTTATTCAAGCGTCTCAAATCTTCAAGCCCACAAGTAAATTAATTTGACACGACGAAAGATCTGCTCAGGAGAACATGATTTTTGGGCAAAACTATTTTTTTCTCTGTGTAATTTTGCATTCTTAACATGAAGATCCTATGAGCGAGCTCAGCGAGTGGAGGGGCAAAGCCCCTCCGGAGTTGGCGAGCGAAGCGAGCAGGGGGCGTCGACACTGCTCGCTTCGCTCACCAACACCAGGGGGGCTACGCCCCCAAGTTAGAACCGAAATCATTATTCCGACAGTGAAGAGAACGAATTTATCAATATTAATTTCACACAATGAAAACATTGTCACTGAACGAAATATATTTAATTATATTCCATTTAATTTATCGCATCTCATTACCACACGATGCGATAAACTAAAATACCAAATAAAATAAATATATGAAGGTCATCTAACCTAAGGTCTACGGTCTGTGCCGAAGGCGATGCCACGAGGGTGCAGGGTACAAATTAATTTGTGAACGCTGTAATAAAGAACAATTTGTGTACAAAGCGAATGGGGGGGGGGGCCGAAGCCCCCCAGTTAAAATCGAGTTTATCAACATTAATTTCCCATAATGAAACCACTTTCATTGAACTAAATATATTTAATCCTCCATTTAATTTATCGCATCTCATTTGGATAAGATGCAATAAATGAAATAAAATAAAGAATCAAATAAATATACGAAGGTCATGTAACTGCTGAAGGCAATGTCACGGAGTAGAGGGGAAAAAAATTAATCTGTCATACCCAGAACGATCAGCACTTCCATTTGACATTTTCCCCCGGAACAAAGCCCTGTTATTAAAAGTTGCTGTTTTATATTCAATCGTTAACTTAGTTAATTGCGGTCAGTGGTCGTGATATCTGTCACTCGTATTTAATTAAATGTTCAACGAAGGCAATATAAAGAACCTGTCGACGCCAGGGAGCATAAGTTTAACCCAAACAACACATTGATTCTGGGGTATAATCGTTTCTCTTTCATGGATGAAATTATCGGTGAGCGCTGGATGCCATTGAATTGCGCACGTAAAAGCCCCATCATGTGTCACGGAGTAATGGTTTGATCGGTTAATTGCGGTTGTGGTCTGGAGCCCACAGCATCGATTGTTACGTTCAATTTGTCCAAGTACTTACACATAAAAAGAAAGGCTATCAAATTGGGTGCAACGGGGCTCGGGGGATGGACCGGGTCGAGTGGAGTAAACGCGGGGCAATGCCTTTTCATTCAATTTTATGGGGTTCGGGGGGTGACGCATTGGTGGGGGGACATATTATTGAATAAATTTCACTCGCAACAAATAGTTGAATGCTGGTGCATAGATTTGGAGATAAATCAGTATTTTGCGATAAGCGTTTGAATTTCGTTGGAAACACGAGACTTGAAGTAATTTTTTGAGTTAATTGAGGGGGAAATTTTAGTTTTTATTGGGAATTTTCATATTCCTCGGCTCGCACAATCAGAGCGCAGTATTTGAGCATAGCCGACAGTTTTATTTAGGATATTTCCTTCTAGCTTTTGAATATTTCGCAGTAGCTGTTTACTTTTTTCGGGCGAGCGCTCGGGATTTTTAACCTGTAAAACTTGATATTCTCGTTTGTTTGCCATGACACGATCGGGAAATATTCGATAATTTTAAAAGTCTCAGGGGTATTGCAACTACAAATTTCTTGGAATTTCTAATTTTTCAGAAACAGAACGACGAGAATTGCAGAACTTACTTGAGGTACCCATTAAAATACGAATATTCAGTAATAAATTACGCTAATAGTCAATAAATTGAATACGTGATGGAATAATTGAGCTACAAATTACAGTTTCCTCAGAGTTTGAATTTTAAATGGCGAAATACCTCGAAATTCTAGTGCAACTATAGTGTGGTACACAAAAACTGAAATTTCGTGGACAGCTAACTTGCAATTTTCAAAAAAGTGACACTCGATTCAGGGAGAAAATAATTAAATTTCAGATTTCACTGAAAATTTAATGAAATTCAAATGTTTTTGGGCAGCAGAAAGCTGAGAATTCTTCCATTTAATTGAGTTTTCAATTGAAACGTGAATGTTTTGGACAAAATTACGGCAAATTGCCAATTAATTAAAAATTCAGGAATAAATATCTGCATTTTTCTGATTTCATTGAACTGAAATTGCAAGCATTGATTGCTACTATTGATTTTCCATAACATTTTAAATTTTCAATTACCAATCACCTTCTTTCTAATTTCCATTCAACCGTTTAATTTATTACTAATGGATTCTTCGGCCATAATAACTTAATAATTACCTTTTTGTTCATTTTTGCTTCCGAATGGAAGCATTGTTTGAATCTTTTATATTGAAATAAAACAACTATAATTTGTAGCCATGAAAAAAAGAACGATGGAGGGCTGGTGTGAGAAATTATCCGAGATTCGCAGAGTGGAGGGTTTCTCCCCGATGTCGTGGATTCATTATTAAAATGTCTTCAGTTTTTTTTCCCGAGGACTTAATGATGTCCCCTGGGACGAAATAAATTTCAATTATCTCAGAAATCAATAGCCGGGGGTCACTGGGTTCCAGGAGTCTTGAAGTTCTTCGGTAATTAGGAGGGGAGGTGGAAAAAGAGTGATGATGTTGTATTTTAATGTAGGGGAGGCGCATTTGGGACCGACGGAACGGAGCTCAATGGGTCAAAATTATCAATGTATTTATTTTACGATTATAGGGCGAAGGGGATGGATTAAGGGGGATAACTCGAGAGTTCTCTATCTTAGCTGTTTAAATTGTGAATGAAGATGTTTGATTTCGTCATAGACTAAAATTTACTCTATTCGTTCGGATAAAAACCAGGACTGATATATTTTAATTCAGACGGATATTGAATGAGTACTTTACGAACTTGACGTTGAATGGATTTTTTAAATTTAATTAATTATTCACAGTGCATGCGGAAATATGCACTGAGAGAAAGAATTTGGTCTGCCTAAAACTTGTGTGTTCCCCTGAAGAGATCTTTTGTCGTGTTGAATGAATTTACTTGTGGACAAAAAAGAAAGTTTCCACCAAAACATGATAATTTTCGAAGTAGTAATTGGCCTCGTGAGACATTTGTATATCTTTCGGGTAAATACATTCGTTCTGCAGAGAATTATATGAGGCTCCGGTTTTATCAAGTGAATGTTATTGAGTAGTGCATATCTTTGTCCAATAAACACTTATAATTTCCATGGAACAAATGATAATTTCGAGACGAAACTACAATTTTCTTGCCGATAACTGTGTTATTGGCAAAACTGAATAATTTCGAGGGGACAATTTTTTTTTTGGGAAAAAAATATTGTTTCCTCGTCAATGTATTCTTTCTGTGGGATAAACCTATGGAGTTCTCTCAGATCAAATGATTGTCGTACAATAAATTATATTTTTGCCTGCCAACAGTTCGAATTATTTTGGGATATTTCTGATGATCACGACAAAAATTTAATTTTTGGGAAAGATATTAAACTTTATTCTATCAAGTTGGTTAATTTCCCTCAAGTAAATCTATTCCACTCCATATCAAATATTCTCACGTGGGGCATATAGTTTTTCGGACGAGCTAATTTTTTCTCTCAGTGTGTAATCCACATGAAGACAAATGCTTTATGTGTGTTTAAACATATTTAAACATAGGAATTGAATCATTTACATAATGAATTAATTATTTGCACCATGTAATAAAAACATTATAATTCAATCCACTGGATCAATGCGAAATGTAAAAAATTCGAATATCAATTCCTGGAACAATTGCCGGTCAGTTAAATTTCAAAATGAATTAGACAATGCAACACTGACCAGAAACAACTAAAATGTCATAAAACAATAAAAGAGGGAGTGTATTATCAAGTCATAAAGATAGAGTACGTAATCGTATAATTTTTCATAAAATAAACAATGTAAAAAATACTTTCCGTCTATTACGTTGAACCGTGTACATTAATAATTTCATTATTAAACTTTCTGCGAATGTAATTTGACCCTGTAATTGGCCATGTGTGGTGGGTTTTTTCGAAATAAAAAGAAATAAAAATGAACAGAACATTTTATTCGATTGAAATGCATTATTTCTCACAGTAGACGACCTTTCGTTACAATAACAGAAAAAAATATCGTTATCAAGATGAAAACACTAGACAAGTAAACGTGAGATTTCGTCTGCTCTCCAACAAAACTCACCAGATTTCTGAGCACGTCGTCAGGCACGTTTCTACTGGAATTGCATAGTGCCCGTGCTGCACTGTGAGAGAATATGACCGGCGCTCTTGTGGTCTGTAGTGCTGCCCTCATAGTTCTCGTAGATACGTGAGAGAGATCCACCAGCATGCCAAGTCTGTTCAACTCCCTTACGACTGCCTGTTGGTACAACAAATCGTAAAAGTCAGGGGGAATTGTGTCTCCACGTGTGTTTGTTCACACTATTACTCGGATAAAATATATAAAGTGAATGGAATAAAGGGTTTTGGAATGAACGGAAGAATACTCGCACTCTTTTAGGTTGTGACGTTAATTGTTGGCGATAAATATTGCTGTTTTTCGGGGGTCGTTTTTTTCTCGGGATTTGCGAGAGGTTTTATGGGGTCATCAAGGGGTGGGCGCAGTTAGAATACAGGAGAAATAAAGATTGTGAAATTGATTTTTTTACTATTTACAGGGACAATTCAATTTTTATTTTTAGTTTCGAATGGGCGAATTGCATTAGAGAGAAATTACTTTGCGGAAATTTTTCGAGAATATTTTCTTGAAAAATTCATCGTTTTTTTTTAATTTTCAAGATAATGATCACGTTTCTTGTGAAGTGATGTAGCAGTTGTTGAGATGTTCTTTAATATTTGCAATTAAATATTAAAACTTCGAAAGTACCAAAAATTGTTGAAAAATAATATTATTTATTTTCTGCGTTCTACACATTGTACATATGTAACTTGTAAATACCAGGCTGAAGGCCCTCGGGCGATGGCCAGTCGCAAGTTTCTTGCGACGAATTCCGTTAAAAATAAAATAATAATATTCTTTAAACGGTGAAGTTTGAAATTTAATTTTATATTTTGTATCGTTAGGAAACATTTAAAGCAAGTAGAGAGAATCAAAGACAAAAAATTCTTCAGAATACGACATTTTTTATGAATAATTTGTAAACAGTGAATTTTTCACTCCGAAACCCCTTTTTTTAACTAATAAAATACTTATTAATATTCAGAATTTCACTAAAAATCACTTTTATAGACGAAACTAAGATTTCTGGAAGTTTAAATATTTTCCATTATTTAATCGCAGAGAAAGAAAAGTTCTGAATTTCAGGGACGTGCCACTCATGTCCTGGGACATGTCACTGATTTTCAGGAATATATCGCTAATTATTAGTGACACTGCGCGCTAATTAGAATGAGCCTGAGCCTCAGTGATTCTTATCACTTAAATTTGGAAATGGATTCTCAAAAATTAGAGATAGGTCTCTGACAATCTCTGAAAATTAGTGATGACGGCCTAAAAAATTAGCAATAATGTTACTGAAAATTGACATTATCACTAATTGAATTAGAAACAAAATCACTGAATTTCGTTATCGCGAATCCCTAATAATTATCAATAAATTCCTGAAAATCCATGACACATCCCTGAAAATCAAAACATTTTCTTCCCTGTCACCCGTAAGAAAACAATATTCAACAACACTAATTTTCAAAACTACAATTAAAAAACCACAAATTATTCATAAATTCTTAAGAATTAAACCAACAAATTTCATGATTGAAAATGTCGAAAGGCTCTCGACTCCCCTCACCCACCACACCATCCAAACAAATTGAATAAACATTACCTTTCCAAACTCACTGAGCCCTGGCACATTATCCTGAGTGTTGTTTGTTTCACCAACGGAGCAGACTGCCCTGCCAAGAGAGAAAAAAAAAGCAAAAAAGATTCCATCAGCGACCATAACAACTTGACTTTTAATTTCATATTTTAATGCTCGAGTGGAATGAGAATAAAGAGAATTTGAAAAATCGCGGAGTCCGTAGAATGTCGGAGAAAACCAGCTACGAATAATATCGGGGGAAAAGAACTCGTAAATGTCTTGGAGAAGGAAATGGAAAAGGCGAACGCTCTTGCGAACCTTTTTCCCTTGCACTTGGCCCCGCTCGGGGAGTGGGCCACTCCCTCCCTCAATTCCCAGCCCGAGAAGTATAACAAGAAGAAAAAACATCCCCGGGAATGTTAAAGTCCGGTCGTAAGTTTGATTCGCGATATATAAACCCGTGTTGGCGAAAAAATTTACACCGTTTACGTGAGAACCTGGCAATTTTCCCCGATTTTCAACTGCTATATATTATTACCTTCCAGGAATATGTGTCGGGCTTTATTTACGAACCTGCAGGAACGCGACACGATCATGTGCAGAGGGCGGGGGGTGTGCAAACTCACTGGTTCAATTCACGCTGTATTTAATTCACCCCCTGAAAAACGTTTATAGACGGGGGAATAACGTGCGGGTGGCGATAGTCGACGGATAGATGGAAAAATTGCCCGTTTGAGCGGGGCAAACTCATTTGCCTAATGCCAACATTGGCTTCGGCAATGTTTTTTTTCATCTTGATTGACGAAACAAATTATGGAGAGCTCTTTCGGGATGAAAAATAAATAGGGCAATTTGAGGGGAAAAATCTCAGGGGAGATCGAGTGACGAAATTAATTGGTGGAATACTTTATTTTTCATTCTGGAAATTGTTGCGTATTTGTGAGTTTTTTAAAGTGAGTTCTGAATGAGTTCCTGTTTCATTGAGGATTTTGAAGAATATTTAATGAGAGTCAGGAAATGTTGAATTTCACTGGGAATTGAACGAAATTTCAGATTTATGAGCAGTAGAAAAAAGAGAATTTCACGAGCTGCACTGTTAGACTTTTTTTAATTTTCGTGAGTGACTAAACATTGATTGAGTCAAAGGCCTGATGAAGCTAAAGGTATTTCGAAACATCGCATCCTTGACTTCCTTGACGATTCACGGAGAAAATTATTTTTTAAATTTCAACGACTACACTGACAGAAAAAATTAATTTTATCAAGAGAATTTTATTTGAACCAACTATCATTTGGTTATTAATTTTCAAATAAACATGATTTCATAGTGAATTCCAGTTATCTCTTTTTGAGATACATTTTATCGAGAGAAATCAAGCGTTTCTAGAATTGAAGTTCCTTTTATTTGTCGCAATAATGAGAGTCTTTGATTTCTTTCTAGCCAAAAGTTTGCCAACTCCAGAAATTCGTTGGTTTACTCAAAAATCAAAGTTATTCTTATGACTAAATACGTTGTTACCTCAATCAGTACGATCATACGTTCTTCCAAGGAAATTATAATTGAAGTGAGCATTTCGTATGTCGAATCAGGATGAATATTGTTACGCGGAAATAGCTTTGAGATTGTAGTAAGAAGTCGTTGAGTTGAAAGAAGTTTATATTTCTTGACTAAAAAAAATCGCCTTAGTTTACAATAACAGAATCACAGATTCAATAAAAATTACGTTTCTTTTCCGTAATTGCGGGAGCGAAATGTGGTTGTCGGAAATTTTAGGGAACTGTCACGGAATTTTCCCACAGCGTTCCGTAATTTCTACCTGAATCTCCTGTGAAAAATTACGATATCGTCAGTTAAATTATCTGAGTCGATCCCTTAATCGGTGAGCGAATTGTGAGTTCCGTAATTTTTGCTGAACATTTCTCTTCGCGTGTTGGTAATTCATTTTCCTCAACAACTAGTCGTTGAAATCCACCAAATAATTATCTCCGCGTTAGATCCCAGTGTTTTTATTTCCCCAAAAATCCTCGATTCCAGGACTAATTCAAGAGTAATTTTCTAACAGTGCAGTCCACATCAATCGATTCGCCCATAATAGTTTGTTGAACGTGTGAGTTTAGTGGGTTTGAACCGAAGTGGAGTAGTTTGCATATATCCCAACTGCGGGGATGCTGTGTGTTGTCTCTGGGTGGGCCGATAAACGGGTGTAGATCACTCGCTGGATGGCACGCTGTGATCGTGAACCTAGTGAAATGGGAATTTACGGGTGTTGAAGAGAGTAACGGGGGCAAGTGGATGCTCGGGGCGGAGGGGGCTGGAGTGGCCCTGGGTAATTTCGCGTCAGCCGTGCGCGCCAACTGTTTATTTACGGGTCCCTGCAATGTCGTCGCCCTGGGAGGCGCAAAGGGCGTGAGCGACTGGTCCTAGGGAGGATTGAAAACTCGCGTTTGTGTTGGCGTCCGTGGAGAACAACAGAGAGCGGCGGTGGGAGGGGGTTTCGCCATCGGGGGACCACGGACACGGGTTATATTCTCCTTGGACCTTGCGGAGTCGACCCGAGGTGAGCAAATGTACACGGGGGCGGGGGAGTTTGCTCAGGGGGGTTGGCTGTGTCTGGAAAAAGTCATTTTTACCCCTTCCACGTACAAATCCCAGTCAACGTTTTACGTTTACTCGTGGGTTTGGTCTCAAGGTAACTAAATGGCACTACTGGGCGAATGGTAAATCTCGGGAAGGGGAGAAGGATTTAATCAGCTGGTGGATTCTTATGACGGTTTTTCGGAGGGGATGGCACATGGAGAGATTGTCCGTTTGGAAAATGTTTTTTTTATTTTTCTGTTCATTTAGGTGTTGGATGAGTAGAACATAGGAATGAATATGTTTGAAGAGAAAATGTTTTTGGTTTTAAATATTTTATTTCATGAGAGTGAACGATTGTGATGTGTTAATGGAAAATAGGAGAAAGATAAAACAAAAAAATTATATAAGACTAGATAAGTGATTGTTACATATAAATAAAACAATTAGTTTACACATTAGTTCCTTCTGTCATGTATAATTCATTGTTTATTTTATTAAATTGAATAAGATTATTTTTTTGCTTATTTTGTCAGATTTTCAATTTAGTTGAATGCTATCGTCACCGTTATTCTTATTATCCCTTTCTTTTTCTTTTGTCTCTCCCCTCAGCCCTTCGATAAAATGTTGATAGAAAAATTGTATTTACACATACTTGAATGAATTTGAAACATCACATTTGAAGAAACCATGAGAGCCATTATTTTCACTTTCAGGAAAATTCATGAAAAATTCGAAATTTTCAACAATCATAAAAATCAAATCAACCAATATAGCTATCGTAATCATCTTTTAACTTTGACTTAGTGGCATTAAAACAAACATTTCAAGCTATGATTGAATTCATTTGAAACAGGATATTCAAAGATATCCCCGGAATTCTGATTTTCAAAAAATACAAAATTTTTGCAAATTTTCAAATAAATCAAAATAACGATTATTGCTATCGCCTTCATCTTGGAACTCAGTCAAAAGGACATCCAAACCAGTTTTTTAAGCCATCATTCAATCAATTCAGAACTTTTTTAAAATTATCGTGAGACAATCGATTTTCGAAAAAATTTGAAAATTAAAAAACTAGTGGATCATACTAGGTCGATATAACACAAAAAATCCAAAACTTAATTTTGAACAATTAGAAAGCTTCTATTGAGAAGCAAAAATCACTGAAAAAATAATTGCAAAAATGTAAATCAAATGACGTTAATTATTCCTGAAATTTTCCGAATCTCTTCACGCAATTTAATTTCCGAATTCGATAATTAACCCAGTATAAACTGTTCGAAACTGTAAAAGGTACTTGGATATCCGTAATCATGTGGTGGATCTCCTCGAAAACTTTTTCTCCTATTCCTTCCTGCCCCGCGGCTGAGTAGAATTTTAATTTAATCTCTCGATAAATGTGGATTCACCCGATGCGGATTAATTGAGTCAAATCGTTGTTCCACTAAGTCCTAATAGGGCTTTATCCAGAATTATATCATTATCTGGGATGTGTAGTCCACTTTGCGATGTTTCATTGAGTTTGAAATTACTGCCGAGTTATCCTACATCATAGGAGTATCACATTTTATTTGATCCGAAGGAGGATCAATACATGCGAATTAAAACAATCAAATGATAAAACAATATAAAACCAAATGAATGTTTATTATTACGTATTACTAAAAGCCAAAAAAAATTAAAAACAGAATTGGAAAAAGTAGATTAAAAAAAATTAATCAAATAAAAAATAAATCAATCAATAGTGGAGTAAAAAATAGATTGTTATTCAGCCTATCGGCCTTATGACATAATTTATTTTTTCTCATAAAATCCTATAAGGGGGAGCGAGAGGGGGCGCGAAAGCGAGCTTCAGGGGGCTGCGCCCCCCCCCCCTCACTAACGGAAAACCAAATACACAACAGAGAAAAAAAATAGAAAAAAGAAAACAATTTGTACATTTTATCAAGTTGAAACAAAGCACACGAAAAATCTAGCACTTTCATTAAAAAAATGTACTGGATTTTTAATTTTTTCATTAAAATTCTATAAGTCTATTGGGGTTCTGTGAATATTCTATAAAACAATTCTATCTGTTTTTTGCATCATTTTACTCAAGATTATGCCACTTTACCATGTCACATTTTTAAAAAACGGTTCTAATTAAAAATTGAGAAAAATATCATTAGAATGCCCTTAATTATCCACGGAACTCCCTCCCCTAAATTCGCTAACTAAAAAAGACCAGTACAATCTGTTCAAAACTATAAAAGATACTTGGATATCCTCAATTATGTGGTGGATCTCCTCGAAAACTTTTCCTCCCCCTAAACTGAGTAGAATTTTAATTTAATCTCCCGATAAATGTGGATTCACCCGCTGCGGATTAATTGAGTCAAATGGTCGTTCCATTGAGTCCTAATGGGGCTTAACCCGGGTTATATCATTATCTGGGTTGTGTACTCCAGTTTGCCATGTTTTATGGGGGTCTGGATGATGATTCGAAAGAGGCGAGGTGGGATTAATGGTTCAGCGGTTGGATCTGTGCGTAAGAAAATTGATGAGGATTTTGCTGGGATTGAGATGAGACATTTCGAGGAGGCGTGAGACTGGAACGCGTCCCAGAGGACTTACAGCACTGACTTACCAGGATGTGTCGCAGGCGTGCGTCAGCGTTAGGTAGCGTGCTCCGAGTCCGTAAAACGTCCTGAGTACCCCCAGGGAATTGCCGAGGGAATGGCCACCCTCCACACCGATGAGGCTCGCTATTTTACCGTCTCTGTGCGCCTCGATCAAACCTTGAAAGTTAATCATACGAGTGAATCAATAGTGACAGGTGAATACACTCCTGTTCTTTTATGGCGATGGTGATATGGGATTGAGGAGAAAACGATCCACTTTGCCTGGGGGGCTCAGAGGTGTTGGAAAAATCAATTTCGTTAGAGGAAAAGCTTCAATGCGGCGGAATGAGTCGTTCTTTTATAGAATAACATTTGGTGATAGGTTTATTTGATTTGCGAACGTCACTGTTACAGATGGGTTGAAAAGGTGTTTAATTTTTATGCGACATTCCAGTGTTAAAAATAAATTTAGTAATATTCAATCATTTCGATATATTGTTAAAATTTAATATTTCATGAAGAAATTAGTGGAAATCGTGAGTACTTCATAGAAATTAATGGAGATCAGCGGAAATTTGTTCATTTGAATCAAATGAAAATCTTTATTTGAAATTTTTTACTTGTTTCAAAAGCGAGGATTTAATTATATTGAATAAACAATTTATGGATTTTAAATAGAACTTCTATTCAACTCAACGAAAGCATTTATTTATTTCAAATGGATCATTTGTTAAAATCAAATAAACAATTTACTCATTTCACATAAACAAATTTTCTTAATATGAGAACAAATTTTATTCATTATTAACGAAGAATTTATATACTTCAAATAAAGATTTTTTAACAATAAAAAATCATTTATTTAATATAAACAGAGCCTCAAGTGGAAAAAAGTTTTCAACTGAAATGAAAATTTCATTTTGTGCTATTTCAAGAAACTTATTTATTTGATTTAAATAAATCATTTCTCTGGGTGTTAATTTTCAATTATATAGTTTTTTAGCAAACGATCAAAAAGATTAATGAATGTTCAACTTGACCGCAATGATTCATATTTTAATTGAAATTTTAAGAATAAATACCATAATTTCTTTATTTAGTATTGATTTTTGATTTAATTACAATTAAGTCAATAATGTCACGTTAATACACTCCTATCATTTTCTTGGAGTGTTGATGTTGGAAGAAACGACCCATTTCGCCCAGTACACCTAAAAAAATGTTTTTTTTTAATCAAACAAAAAATTGTATATGAAATTTTTTATGTATTTCAAAAATACTTTCGTTACAAATGAATAACCTTGTTTATTTGTTAAAAAAAACGAATTTAATCATATTAAACAAACAATTTATTTATTTCAAATAAAAATTGTATTCAATATGAAAAAATAACTTAGTTATTTCAAACTAATAGTTTTCTTATTTTAAAAAATTCCATTATTGCATGTTTTTCGTTCAATCTTTTTCAAGTTTATTACCATCTCAAAGCGATAATAAATTATGAGTATTAAATAAATATTTATGTAGTTCAAAAAAAAATTTGATTGAAATAAATCATTTTTCTGGCTGTAGTTTGAGAAGTACCGGAAAAATCTATTTATTTTCTTTTTTTTCTGCGATCTACACTCCCATATAGATCCTCTTTTTTTTTGTCGATTCTGTTCAACACACGATGGAACATATCAATGAATGTTCAACTTGACCGCAAAATTGAGAGATAACTAAAAAGCGACAATTGGCCTCACAAAATTGTTACAATTTTAGTATCCGCATTGCGGATATGCACATTCTCTTTCCAACCATGAAATATTACCAGACATTTAACGGTGTTGCATCGTGTGCCACTGCCTCACCTCCCTCGCACGCATTCCCCAACACCACGTCGCTTGATAATTCCACTCATCCATCCCAATTACTCCGCAAATAGCGACACAAACAACCTCAAGTTGAGGTTGGAAAATGTATTTAATCTCAAGTTTTTTTCGCTCGGTGAAATAATCACAATGGCAACGGCGAATGGGATAGCAATAAAGAATAAGTTCAGTGACTGTGAGACAGGCCTTTTATCCCGGCCAGAAAAATCCGGGGAAAATGTGACAACAACACATAATAAAGTAAAAATGAATGAAAAAGAGATAATGTGAGATGGAAAAAACTCCGGGAGGTGGGGAAATTCAAAAGTTGGCGCTAAGAACCTGTTTCTTCGTGGCATATTTCTCGGTTTCTTGTATCCTAAAAGTCCCCGAACTTTTTCTCAACCCCTCCCCCCAGCCCTACTCCTTCCGTCGTCAACAATTTTTTTTTTTGCTGAAGAAGGAGCAGTTTGGCCGCAGTGAGAGCAGCTCTCATTCTTGACTTCTAGATATTCATATCCTTGTTGCAATCTTCTATCTTCGAGTTCTTGAAAAGAAGTTTCTCGCGGGGGATCATTGATGAGGCTCTCGGCAGAGGTGAACTTTTTAATTGGAAATTTGACCTCACTTATTAAAAATTTGAGGGAACAAAATTGACGACGGCTGCACGGAGAGAATATAAAATTTAAAAAAGTGTTGAAAATTTTTTAATGAACTTTCGCAGAAGGAGCTTGAATTCGATTTAAGGGGAAAAAGACAGTGGAATTTCAGGTTTCTCTGAGCATTGAAGTAAAGTCCGACATTTTTTAGTGACAGGAAGACGGAAATTCCGTAATTTACATGAATTTTCAAGTGCAAATTAATATTCACTGCCCAATTCTCTTGAATTTTTAGGGAATTCCTTTAAAATTCTTAGGATTTCAGAATTGTTTGAACAAATTCCATAAAAATTTTGCACAATCTGAAGTTCGCGGAGTGATTCCTCTAAATTTTTCTGAGTTTTCATAATTTTCCCGGAATAATTAAACTAAAATTATGAATTTTCATCTTCGTTTCCATGCTTTGGCTCAATTTTGAGAAAGATTTCACGTGAATAATAAATAAATTATCCTAAATTATCCAGAATTTAAACGATGTTCCAGTGGTCACCGACTACCCTAAACAATCGAACTGACTGTCTAGGAACCCTATAGAAACCCTGGGCGGTATTATCCACAAACTCTGGGCGGAATTACCCACATACGCGGAGGCTGATAAAATAGCCAATAATAACTGATAAAGATATTCTTCTGCTATCGAACAGGTCGCAAAGGATGTGGAAATGTATAATGAACATACATTTCACACTCCATTCAATTATGGACCAACTGAAAATTTGAAAAGTCTTAAATTCTAGAGTCGAAATATTTTAAGAATTCAGTAGAAAATGATTTGGATTTTTACAAAATTTGTTTCCACGGGAGAAAATTGAAAATTTCTGTTAAAACCACTTGTTGTTATAAAAAATTTGCATAATAAAAGAAGAAAAAAAATGTTTTCTCAGTCAAACCTAGAAAATACATTCTTAATCCTAAATCAGTAGCGAATTGGTAAAACGGTTTAAGTCGACTCATCTCCCAGTTGAGTTTTTGAGGAATATTTCCGAATCTAAGGGAGATAGCGAAATTGTCGTAACTAGATTTCTTGTGGCTCTGAATCGGCTCTACAAAAAAGGTTGTAACAAAAATTTTGCTATCTCCCTTAGATTCCGAGATATTCATTGAAAACTGGTCAATAGTTGAAATTGACTTGTGCCGTTTTACCACTCCGCTACTGAAATTAAATTGTGGAATATAATAAAATGCTCACCTCTTACAGATGTAACGAGAGTCAGATGCTGTGCATTCATTTCCGCCAGCCTCCGTATAACATCAATTTGTTCGAGAGACAGCTGAACAGCGTTGAGTTGGGCCGCACCGCACGGTACATACGCTGACCAAAACTGATAGTGAACAAAAAAAAATTCTGCATTAAACACAAACATTTCTGTCAAGATACATGACGCTGTAACAGGCGTAAATTGTCGCGAATAGCGCAGGCCGTGAAAGCGATTGGATCACGGTGAAATCCCATCCCCCGTCATCCCCCGAATTGAACGCTGTTTGCAGTCTGTTGAATCATGAAGAACCGTTTCGGGGGGAGTTTGTAATTACGGTAATGGGTGTAATTGAAAAAAAAATCCATCAAGTGTTAATTATTGGGTGATTCATTAATCCAGAAATTCAACGGACTTGTTCATTAAATGGAGTTTCAACATTCATTGTTAACTTATGGAGATTGAATACATCTGCTGAAATGAGCAGAAAAACACTTGGATCATCACTATTAGCACTCAGTTCCGTAGAAAAAATAAATAGGAAGTTGCAGTCAATTATTTTTATTTAAATTGGAAAATGAGAACATTTGAGAAGTTTTCAGGACGAGTACGTGAATATTATTCAAATATGAGTCCATGTAAATTCTTCTGATGTGTTGAAATTATTAATAATAATAATTGTTATTATTATTATTAATTATTTTTAATTTTAATAATTTTTAGGATTTCGTATTTCATGTTAAATCGCATAGAGAAATAAAGTTTTGGTTTTTAGGAACATATCACGGATTTTTAGTAATCTACATGTAATGGACATTGACTGGAATACCGTTGATCATCAGTGATTTCTATGACTGAATTTTGGTGACAGATTAAAAAAAAATTGGGGATTGGTCCCGGAAAATTGGTAACAAAATCACTGAATTCCAGGATTTTGCAGTCGTTAAATGGCACAGTCACAAATTCCTAATAATTTTTTTTTTATTCAGCAATTAGAAACCTCATTGAAGGTTTATTACCCAGAGCCAAAAGGCAAAATGTTACATATATATATGCAGGAAAAAAAAAATTATATATATGTATATATATATATATATTGCATACAAAAATACATTATTTTACATTTCAAAACTAGTTAAATTTTCAAATTACATTCTTTAAAGAATTTATCAATAGAATTAATGACAATAGGAAATTCCTAATAATTGAAGCTGGCTTCGTGAAAATTCGTGACATATCACGGAAAATCAAAACTTTGTTTTGTGCTTCCAAATAAAATCCATTTCAGCTTTCATATAATATCATTTACTAAATGTTTGAGGATTTGTCTATCATTTCCTCGTAACTGATGATGAATTTTAATAATTTCAAAAAAGAAATAAACAAATAAATGGCTTTATTCAAATCTCTCTTACTGAAATTTCTGTTCAAAACAGGATTTTTATTCGCGTTTTCAATCCCATTAAACATGTTTTTTAATAAACGTTTCCTTCATACAAATAAGGAATCCATTTCGAACGAAAACACCATATATTCCAAACAATTAAAATATGTTCATTCAAATAAACAACGGAGTTCTCGAATGTATAAAAAATATTGTTGAACTGAAAAGAATTCAATTTTATCCAAACATATTATTATTCCCCAGAATAATATTCACAATACTTCCAACAATTCCTACCCCAAATTTCCTCACCCCTTTCCGCCACTATTCCCCATCCCCCTCCAATTCCTCAAAACTTTTCAAAACTCTCCTCGAAATAATTACCAAATCAATGCCCAACAATTTGCCATTCTCTCCTCCTCGGAATACCAAAGTACATTCATTGACATTCGAACAAGTGACACGATACAAAACCCCATGGATGAAAATCCGGATCATGCTGATTGTCAAAATGGAATAGTTGGAGAGCGTCGGTACGATGATAACCAATTCCAACGATCGAACAATCGTCCAATGGTATTCAATTGGTTGGCTCGAGTTGGCACATGGACCGAGTAATATTGTCCCCGACAAAACAAGCAGTTCCCATCGACGGCGGGTCGCCTCGTGTCTCCGTATAACCTCCCTCCCTGTCTCTCACCCCCCAACCCCTCCCCACCCCTCACCGAATTCCCTTCCCCGCCGTCCCCTGGACACCAGCACGTTTGCACAACATAGTTTGACCCGAGATTGCTTTCGGAATCCCCAGCAACAAATGCAAAACACAACGGATCGCCGAAGCGTACACCCAAAAAAAAATTACTTTTAATCAGTAGAAAAAGTACTTGCACCCAGTACCAAGGGGTTTCTGGGGAGAAGGCACATTTTTGTACTTTCTCGAAGTTACAAAACAACTTGATGCAAGTGGAAGTATCATGCGTCAAGTACCTGTGTAGTGGTGAGAAGTACCTCAGTACTTGTCGCAAGTATTTTGTTACTTGGGACAAGTAAAAAAATTACTTGTACTGAGTACCTGGCCGGTTGTTTTCAAAAGTACCAAATAAACTCAATATAAGTTGAGTATAAAGAACTCAAAAATGTTTTTCTACCTCTTCTAAAAACCGAATTTCGTCAAAAATTGAAAAATCCAAATAATTCCCGTTTTGTGAGTAATAAAATTGAAAAGAAATTGAAAATAATTTTTCGAGGCCGTTTAAATGTTGTTAACAACATAAAACATAAAAATCTCAACAAAATTGAAATTTTGTAGCAGTGATTGGCATCAATCATTATTCCAGAAATATTAAGAGAATTATTTCCCCAAAATAACTGAATTCATTCGTTCATAATTGGAACTTAGAAGAAAATAAATAATTTAGAATTTAAATGTTTTCAATAACTATTAGGTAAATAATAGGAAATTTTCAAAAAATATTAAAGATTATTTTTCCAACCCAAATATCGGGCAGTATAATTGGCCCATTCGACATCACGTGGTACAAGCTACAGGGTTTTCAACTGATAATTTTTTGATAATTTTCTCTGGTAGTTGCTATATAAAAAACAAAACACCATGCAGTCGAATTAACCCCTCGTCAAACTGACAGATTGAATTCAATTGTGGTAATCCGAGGATTTTTATTCGAAATGAGTGTTAATTATACAATTTTCGTTTCTCAATTGTGAGTTTCGTCTCATGGTCCAATTATATTGCCCGACATTTGGATTGGAAAAATAATCCCCCGAATACCACACGAGCTTCAAAATTAATCGGACATTTTCCTCAAGGTTCCCTGCGGACAAACGAATTCGTCAAGTTTTTCAGGAAAAATCATTCGTGCTTCACACTCGTGATTTTTTAACCTGAAAAACTTGACTCCTTCGTTTGTTTGCAACGAACCTATCGGAAAATACCCGATAATTTTGAAGCTCTTGTGGTATTACAAGTGATTATCAAATAATCGTCATTCTTCCGAATTCGATTATTGATTGGTAAAATATATCGGAATTTAAATGTTTAATTGTTGATTAATTTAATAATTGAAAATTGTTAAGTTGTATTACTTCATTGAGTACTTATGAAATTAATGGTAATAATAATTCATGATTATGCCTATCTCTGTTTTGTAGGTTGGAAAGCATACCAATAATTCTCGAAAGCATTCGTAAAAATCGCAATCTATTGATTTTTTCCTGCAAAATATCGTCTGCTGAACATTTCTATTTACAAAAATGCGTACGAAAGCCCATTCTATTCGGTAATAATATTCACTTTTTTCAATAAAGTAATCAATTGGAAGTACTGAAATTAAGTCCTAAAAGTACTTGAGAGAAGTTGAAAAATTACTTGTCACTAGTACCTTTGGGACTTGTGAAAAGTACTAAAAGTACTGGCAGAAAGTAGTGTAGTTACTTCCTCCCAGTACCATTTTTACTCGATTGGCAGATGTGGTACTTCACCCAAGGACAAAATGTTCTTGGGACGAGTATTTTTTGAACTTTTCGAAAGTTAACTCCCCCCAAGTACCCGTTTGTACTGGTGAGAAGTATTTTTTTTTTGGTGTATAGCAT